AGAAATACTTTAAATTGTGTGGTGGTAGAAGATATTTTGTGGTAATCCATAATACGTAAAGTAAATAATCTCCACAAAAGTTTTAATAATTTTTAAAGAAATAATTAATTAATTACGTTGTCTCCTACCCGTTCACGCGACCACTCCCTTATGCGCGGAGGCTTATAAAGAAATTATAACGTTCACACACGCAGTTGTAGCGCCATACCTCAAAACGTTCAGTGCAGGAGAGGAGCTGTTCCAGAGGTCCGGCAATCCATAACTTTCAATAACTAGTGGAGCTACAACAGCACATATTTTCTTCCATTTATTCTCAATGTTTTCAATTTTCAAAAATTGAGAGACTCCAAAGGAAATTAGATCTACGCCATTCTTTTTTTCTACGCGATCCGATAACAAAGTTTAATAAAATAAATATGAGTCATTTTTGGAGTCACAATATTTGAAGAATATTTTGAAAATGTAATTTAAGCTTCATGTACAGTACTACTCAAAATTAAAATATTCCTTTTAGACGCGCAGGGCCTCTAGTTTCTTTAAATCGATTGAGGAATATCAAGTTTGGAGAAAATCGCTGAACGTTTAAGGTGTTTTGTAGATTACACGCAGGTGGATGGAAAACGGACAGACAGACAAACAACCGATAGACGTTTTCCCGTTGATATGTTTGATATCAAGAACCCACAAAACAGAATCTAAGCACATATCATGTTAGAGGAAGTATTTTATATAAAGAAGATTAATCCACATATTCGTTACCAGGGCACGGAAATAAAGTTCTCTTCTTACTAAGTACGGGCGAGATAGTAAAAATATTGTGAATAGAGTAAAAACTAAAGGAAAATTCATAATTACTTCATATTTCCAAAAATCTCTAACAAAACTCGGAACTGTGTTACCAAATCCAAATCCACACTCGTGTACCTTACGTATGAATAGAGCTTAGTCGAAAGGTTTCCTAACCATACAATTTTTCAGTATAGCAGTCTGATTCATATGGGAGTGAATGTTTGTGGGGAGGGGACGAGTGGGCGGCGCGAAGTGACTGGTGACATTTCCTCCTCTTGCCGCAATTGCCTTCTCCGCCTGCATCCGGTCGTCCCGCAGCAGCAGCTGGCGGCCAGTGGCGCGAGGGCTCGGTTGACGCGGAGGTCGTTCGAGCCTCATGCGCTTATATAGAACAATCTGGCGATTATAGAGTCTTATTCCGCTGATTTTCATTAGTATATCATGGGCGTTGTGCTCCTCATACAGGCTTTGTCGTTGGCACAATCTGTGTTCTATGCACGAAATATCTGCATAGAATTTCTTGCCCCTTCTCTACCAGGGTCTATACAGGCGGCGTTCACGCATTTGGTTGCGATCGCAAGAGGAGCCATGTAAAACGATACGTCGTATAATAAAGCAATGAAGTCTTACATGACTGTATTCACAATTCAAATTACCTTCCGGGCTGGACGGTTGTGATCTAGAAGTACGTCATATGTTCGAATACCAACGTTGGCGGATTTTCGACATTAGTTAAATAGCTGTCTGTACGACGTCGCAGTGTGGAGAAAATTTCTAAAAGCTAACTGCTCTGATGGAATTCTTTTGTGATTTCAATCTAATATTTCTAACCGGGACTGAACAATGCGTAAAGTAACGGATCGTGGACACCGCTTCATCTTTCTACTCGTTCTTTACACTCGAATCGTCATGGCCTGGTGATGAGCTGATTGCCCCCTCACACTCCGTATTCCTAATGATATACATTTCTAGAAAAGCTCCGGCGGTAATATGAGTAAACGGACTCCAATCCAACGCAAAATGCAGAAGCAGGCTAGGTATAATACTAACCTACGTTCTCAGCGGGAGACTCCATATCTCTTGTTCTTTTCTTTTTTAACAGTTAAAAGAAAATGCTCCAAATAACTCGAGTAAATAATTAGATATCGCATTTCCGAGGCTGCAATTCAATTTTTTTGTAGGTACTCTCCTGCCTCATCCTGCCGTCTAGAATATTAAACACCTTGATGCATAAAATTGCATTACGTATTTGCATTACGTATTTGCATAAAATTTTCATTTTCTCATACAATAATATTATAAATATATGTCGCATGTAGCAATTATTAATTCGGTATTGATCATTAAACCGACACAAACGTTTGAAAAAATCAAAAAGGTCAAACATAACATTTATTGTCTGTCGGCGGCGCTGAAGAAAAGTGATAGATCTAAAAAAATTGGCATTTTGCAGGAGCGCGGTTGTTAATTTGTGTGGAACAACCAATTGTAAAGAATTTTACTCTGTTCACTGGGTGATAACTATCATCATGAAACGTTTTAAGGTAAACATATATCATATGTTCTAAATATACTTATTCACGTAACTCAAAAATGACGAATTTTGATACGTCAATTTTGTTTTGTTACAAAGAAGTTGTTACGTAGAAGTAACTTCTATTTTTGTTACAAAGAAAAAATTATGTATCGTGCCTTTTCAACTTTACGTCATTAGTTCCTTATCCTTTACTTCAACCTCTCATTTCACATCTGTATATTCGAATTTCCAGTCCTTTGAAAAAATACTCCGAAGTATAAGCGGCGAGTGGCTCTGATTTTTCCGCGGTTTCTCCGATCATTACCAAGCAGTTACCTAACCAAGGTGCCACGGACCTTTTTTCCCCAACCTTGTCCTCTACTAGAGGGGATACGCCGGGAGACTGGTCCGGAACTGAGAACTTGTTTCGGCTGATGTGGTGCTTGGGGGAGGGGGGGAAGAGGGTTAACACTTGGTTGGGTGTAAGTCCCCTAAGCCACCAGTAGGTCGGCGCTGGATGCTACTATCCAGCGGGCGCTAATATCTTGCACTACACTTATGAGACACATGTAGTTGATGCTCGAGGAATCAAAAATTAATCAGAAACTACTGGCAATATTGTGACGTGAAGTGGTACAAAACGCTCATTGTCTGAAGCGAGTTAGGCTGTGCAACAGCGTACCCATGCCAGTGCACTCCGCTGCCATTGCCATCGCCGCTGCGGGCCAGTGTTCGGGCTGCCAGCGGCGTCGCGACGCGTCGCTGCAGGTGCGGGCTGCGTCGGCCGCCGCACCGTGCAAACAGAAACCAGATAGCGGAGCGGAGGGGCTCGGATGCAGCGGACGTCCTGGAATCTTCCTCTAGGGCTCTCACCACGTGGCACGCGCCGCGAGGGACATTTCGGCTAACCACCGCGTCACTATCGCACCAGCGCGAGGACTGACTGCGACCTGTCTAGAATGGCGCAAAATTAAAACCTTAATATCAGCTTTCAACAAGAAGTCACTCATGTAATATTGACTTCAATTCGAATGAGCTTCTAATCTCGTCTGGGCTTTGGCTTTCCCCCAAGCTCTTGCCAGCTGCCATCATTTGCCGCTTAATTTTAAGTTAATTTTTCCACATTATATTACTTTTTAGTTTTAATAATGGTAAAACCAAAATACCACTTGAATAATTTAGAAGAGTATAATATGGTTATTTACGCAAAATTTGGAGTCGATTTTGAGAAAATACCATTTCAACTTCTGTGAAAATGCACAATTTTCAGCTAATCTTCACGGAAAACTTTTTGAGATTACGAAAAACGTTTATGGAAAATATTTGACGCACTTCTATTGACAATTGTAATAATGTATAGAAATGTTCGTAATGTAAATGTTAACAAATTGACAGATTTTTAAAACCAATGAACTATAAAATAAAAAAAATCAGTCAGTGTAAAGAGTTCATCAAAGTGGCGTTGATGTGAAGTTAATCAGTGCATTTATGATAAGAAAAATTAAAGGAGATATTTGGAGCGGTTTTTTAGAAAATGATGATTGAGCGTTTCTGAAAATACGCATTTTTGACCCCTTTCTCTTAGAAAAGTTTTTTATTGTTCCGGGAGAAAAGAGAAATTTTATAAGACAACATTTGAAACACTTGTCACAAATGCAATACGAATTGTCGGAAATGGAAGTATTACCAAAATGGAAGAGATATCAAAACAATTACATTTGAGTAAAACGTAGGAATGCAGTAAAATTGTGTAAATTTCATCTTATTCAGGGCTTCTAGCGCTATCTAAACCAAAAATTTGAGGGAAAAATAAAGCCATTTTCGAGAAAATTTTGTTTTTGATATTTTTTAAATATTGTCCATATTTCAGTCAAAATTATTCTGAAACTACTAACATTTAAAAAATGTTCAAGACCCGAGTTAAAGAACTAATTGTGGAGAGCAAATTTAATTGTCTACATTGAAAGCGTCATCGCACAGCTCTGAGATGCTCCTGCATTAAAGGCGGAGCGATATGAATTCCAACAACTCGTATTATCACATTTTAACCGAAGAACCATTGTTCCTACTGAATGCAATAAAAAACTTCGTATTTATGGAGTCCAAAATTCTGCAATCTCTTCAACAGCAACAACTCATCGGTATTCATCTTGAAGATGAGTCGGCCACGAGCTGATCATGTGCAAGGTACTAATCTACTGCCAACTGCAGACATTCCGCATCACCAAGTGAAATTTATCGTCTCAATCGAACGATCGTAACCATTCCTGGTTCAAGCTTTGAATATGGTCTTTCAATGCGGGAAGATAAGCGCAAACACTCGCGTATCTTGAGTATGAATGTGCACTGATTTCTTCCTAGTGATGATTAGTAACAACAATATACCAATGTCTCGCAGACGTGTGTAGAAAATCACAAAAACCAATAGCTTAAAAAAATGATAATAAAATCCCAAAGAATTGTTCCATCCACTTGCATAAAAGCGTTGACTTTATTTGTAAAATTTATTTGTCTAATTTACACATTTAGAAAATAGGTTTGTAAACAAAATTTTGAAGAAAGAAATACTGAACGAAACGAAGTAACGGAAATACTTCTCAGAATTTATTATAATTAATCTTTGAGTTCGGCCGAGGAGCGTTCGTTTTAAGCAGCTGGAACGCCACGAGACCTTGAATTTTTTGTGGGCACTCACCGAGTCGGCGACGACGCTCCTGTGTGGCAGCCGAAAGTAGTCGGAAGATGGAGGTGCCCGCGACGACCAACTCGACGCGGCGGCTGCGCGAAGCTCCTGTCGCTCGGGCTCCTGTCGGGGCAAACGCACCGTCAGAGAGTGGACGAAGTGGTGGAGAAAAGCGAAAGGAACAGATTTTGGATGGCGTTAGGGGCTGAGGAACGAAGCAGCAAATCAAATGGTGTCCTTAGGTAATGTAGGACAACTGTTGAAGGATATGTGATTGAACTGACGGAACAAAGAACTGCAAGTGAATGAGGGAAGGCAGAAATGCGCGGTGAATTTAACCTCATTAGAGATCAGAATAAAGGAGGGATGCGCAATTAGATCGCGATAATCGGTTAAAGAGTTTGAGGTCAAATACATGGTAGGAAGCTAATGCAGAGATAGGAAGGTGGCCGGCAGTTTATAGGATTGTAGGAACGGTTCAAGTCAGAGCGATTGCCCACGCTGCCTGAAATTCAAGCAAAACATCACAGGGGTAGCCAGTAAAAGATGTATCAGAGCAACGAAGAAGCGCAATGCAAGATTGTCCGAGAAGAGAGCTTGCGGAATGGCGACGACGTCCAAGACGAGCGGCAATAGATCAACTGCGGTGACAGCGTACACGGTGAGGCAGATGGAGGCGACTGATGGCCGAAGGGGCGTAGGGGCAGCGGCGCTAGTGGCGGCGGCGGCGGCGGCGGCCGGGCTGTGGATGGAGGCAGTGATATGGACGGTGAGGGAGGTGGGGCGAGGGTGGAAGTAATGGAAACGGGGTTGAATGTCGGGGGCTTGCGAGCAGGGGGCGGGGTGGCGGGCGGGGAAACTGTTGACGGAGGCCTCGTGCCCTGCGGCAAACACCCTGCGGCGCCGGCCTCCGGGGAGGCGGGCGCGCGGTGGCGCGGTGGGACAAGGTGGGGGCAGGCGTGAATTCGCCCGCGTCACCGTGCTGCCTTGCACCCGCTTCGCGCAATCGCTGCCAGTCGCGCTGCTTGCGCCACGACGCCGGCCCCTGGGACTCCACCGGAATTAGGTCGGCGCCGCGGAGAGGGAGCCTATCAATTGCGAGAGCGACACATCAAAATAGTTCTGACAAAAAAAATCTGCTCTCCGCTCGCTATAAGAGAGTGATTTGATGATTGTATAATACATTTCCTCGTCCTACCTTATTCCTACCGGCGGAGAGGAGAGAGAGAGAGAGAGAGTGAGTAGAGAGAGAGAGAAGAGGAGAGAGAGAGAGAGAGAGAGTCGTTGGCATGTTTCAATTACAAGCTAATATAAAATGTTAACACATTCTGTCACTGAATAAATTTCAATTAATTTTGTGATACTGTATGGATTTTGTAGATGAATCTTATTATTGGATGTCTTTGTCTCAAAAGATAGCATTTTGAAAATTGTGGTAAATGTAGTCACTGATAAGCGTTTCGGGTATCGGTCACACCGCTCTAACTGTGAATAAAATCACGAGATCGTTACTTGCTACTCTCCCTTTATGAGATTTGACAGGGTCCACGTCCTGTGGACGTGAGTTATTTTTCTCCAGAATCTCTTTTAAGGGGGACAAGTTAATTTCAATGTCCGATGTTGATTACTCAGAGACCAACACATTTTATCAATTCTTAGAACTGTATTATTTCAGCTTTTGTATATTATTACGTCAAATATTTTAAGTATCAAGAAACGCTTCTTCTCGTAACAAGGAAGTTTGGGAAATTTACATCTGAGAAAGTTTAGAGACGACATCACACTAAAATGTTCTGAGCACTGAATGTCTTTCATGACTAATTTTGGTAATGGGGATAATTTTTACTATGGTTAAAGTCACGGAATATATGTAAGCATTAAGAAGAAATTAGACATGCAATTGTGCAAATAATTTAACTTAAAGAAACATATTCTTTTCCTAAATGCGGAAGATGACAATTTCGTTACTATTCTTGCGCACAAATCTGCACTAACAATAAAGGTAACAATGTACATGGCTTAGTTGTATACTGATGCTGCACCCGTGAATATACCAACCAGTTACAGAGAACATCATAAAAACAACAGTGTTGCTACGTTCTCAGAGCTAGAAATCTTAGTTCACTGAGTTTAAAGGTTTTTTCAAATTATCAAGTCACAATGGCATTTCCAGTATTAAAGAATTGAAAAATCGAATATCATATTCTTAAAAAATCAATTTCACCAAGAACCTCCTTCCGACACGCCTACGTGACATGTCATTCGATTTACAGCCCATGAGGAAAACTGTAGAGAGGCAGAATCCGCTACACCTCTCCAAGAGCAGCCCACACTCGGGGAAAGGACGACAAGAACAGCGTCGAATCGTAGACCTTGCCGAGGATTTCTTTCCTGTCGGACGGCGGAGGTTTTTGAACCTCGGCCCTTCCATCGCCGTTAATCACCATTCGGCGAGGCATGATGTGCAAAAATCGCCAGAGGTTCACGCCCTGAGGCTGCTGCCCCAGGTGAGAATGCGACGCCCCGTCCGTGCGGCAGCTGAGGGGCGGGGCGTGGGCGGGGGCTGCCAGGCGGGGCCGGAGAGCGCCGAAGAGTCGGATCGGCTAGCGCGGGAGGGTGGGTGGAGGTGGGTGGGTGGGGTGAGAGGGCGAGTGCGAGCAGGCGGGGGATCGCAAGTCGACAATGAAGCTAGCAGGAAGAACAGCCAAGAACAGTTACGAAGGAGATAGGCTTCAAGTTTCGATGCTTTGGAGTGAAGCGTGATTGTGTTTGCGAGAAAGAACGAAGAGAGGGAAAGAGCTCAACGTAGCAAATATCGGGACAGTGGCGGGAACGGCTCAGTCAGAACCAAAAATGGCGATTGATTAATTAATGATAGGGGTCGCGTCAACTCTAAGCATCATTTAATCCCGTACGTGTCGTTTCTCTAATTTGCGCAGGGGATACAGCTATTCCCAGTTGGGGCGAAATCCCAGCGCCGAACGACCCGTAGCTTGCAGGTTTTCCCCAAAAAGGTATCTCACCAGCGGGGCCACCACCACCGACAAGTTCTAACGCCCCCGAACTGCTCTCACATAATTGCGTTCGAGTATGGTACAGTAAGCTGTGTTGTGTGTGCTGTGTGGTTGTGTGTGAGTAAGTAAAAGTGAGTATAAACAAGAAAGAGGATGGAAAAATTCCATGTGCATTCCGTGGCGTACTCTTTCGGTATTCGCATGGTGTTAATCGGAAAAAACGATCACAAAATCACCGAGAGAAAGCCAGCCGGAACGCCTTAGAATTCTCTTCAGGAACGCGAACCGAGCTCGACTTCAGCTATCTAGCTACATGTCAAAAACCATAGACCTCTCCGCTCAAAGGTACTGAATGTGAACATCAATGATATCCTAAACCACCTAAAGTAGAAAAATGGGAATGGAGTGACTACAGAGAAGCGGATTGGAAGGGGATGGTGGGTCTGCGGGAGCCGGAGATGCGTCTGTCTGTCGTCTTGCTCTCACCACTCGCACACGCTTGATCCTGCAGGAGGCCACTGGATGTGAAGTAATTCTTTCGTATCACGCACATCCGCTATTACCGTGCATTTAACACATGACCCGCGGACTGTCACTACAATGGGGCCTCTTCTGCAGCTGTATAGGTTTAATACACAGCATCGTCGGTTTTTTCATGACGATATTCTTTGTCTAGTATGATTCAGTCAGTGGTATTATTGATAAATTGACTGTAAGTAGATAATACATCGAATCAATACATATATAGTCTCACGTGATATTATGCTACGACTAATGACGGGACGATGTGTATGCATATAATAGTCAATAGGCACTGCGGAGCGAGAGAAGGGGTAATACATTACTGGACCACCTTGTCGCACATTGTAAATTTGCTTATGTGACCTGGTAAACATATGTTGTTTCAGAGACAATAAAAAAATATGAGGAGGAAGATACGAATAAATTAATATAAACTGAACTCTATGAGTGATAATTATGATCGTTGAAACACATTTAATCTGGATGACATACCTGGTTTGTACAGTTCTTAGCGTAAGATTACGCTTAACATTCGCATAAGGGTCCTTATTTATTTGAACTATTCTTCACCCGTGTGGTTGACAAGTTGCTCTGAGTGCCCAAGTTCGAAAGAAGCAAGGAGGTTGTAGCATGTTGGTTGGCTAGGCTGACTGTAGAAGAATCCTGGATTGCACGAGAGAGCGGATTACGAAGGTCAGCGTTAGTCAAGAATTCGTCACTAGGAACGAGCCATAGCGAAGAGATGGAAGACAAAGAAGATGATCGCTTAACTGCGAAAGATTAGACACATCAACACGCACCGTAACCGTCTGAAACATCAGCTCCATCCTATAGACACATACATAGAGAAAAATGTAATCAAACGATGTCAATCTCTTACCACGAGAGTTGCGTTTGGAGCTGGGGAGTATGGCAATTGATGGGCGGTCATCATGACAAAATGTCACTATGATTACTTGCGAAGTATTAACATAAGGGAATGGAGAAATCTCGCAAAGTAGGACCAGCGTGGCACGGGTGGCGCGGAATTCGGGGTGGGCATGGGTTGCAGACGTGCTCGGGGCGGCAGTGTGATACGGGAGAGTAGGGTGGAAGAGCGGGGATCGGAGCTGTGCGCGAGCGGATCGACTGATGGGTGGAGCGAGGAGGAAGTTGACTAGCGTGTCGGAGGGTGAGCGGCGGTAGGCGTGTGGAGCTGGGCGAGGGGAGGCTAAGAGGGGTGTTTGCAATGCTCGGGGAGGGTGAGTTCGGAGCTTAACACAGGGATAGAAGGAAGGGAGGAGAGGGGGGGGCAGCAGGGGAGAGCGGGTCGGGAGCCGCGCGGAGGTGAGGCGGGAGCTCGAGGTCTTGGCACAAGGTGGGGGGCTGGGGGTGGTGGGACTAGACTTGTTCAAGCCCTTTCGTAGGCGTAGACGCGCGCGGCTCTGAACTAACTGCCTCGCTAACCCACAAGCCTACTTCCTGCAGCAGCGACGGACACGGTGCGTAAACCAGGAGACTCTGTTAGCCAGTGCTATTCCGTCGCCACGCTACTCACTCTGCTCCGCAGGGGGCGGAGGCACGCGGTGCGCACGGCGAAGCCCATAC